ATCAGTGAGCATCCTTAACACTCTTAGTTTGAACTCTGTGTCGGGTAGGTTGCTCATTTCTGTTTCACTTAGTTCCTTTTCTGGGGTTTTGTCCTATTCCCTTACTTGGAATGTATTCTTTTGCCTCCTCATTTTGCCTCTTTCCCTGTGCTTGTGTCTACGTATTAGGTAGGTCAGCTACGTAGAGCGCCGAATCTTAACCACTAGACCACCAGGGTCAATAATACCCATGAAAAATGGCAGCAAGCCCTTCTTGGGAAATAATTATGTTTGCACTAGTGACGAGTTAGAATTGGCATTTGGGCTGCAGTCATGGAGCCATGCAAAAGACATTCAAGGCACAAGCTAAGCGGAGTTTCTTGACCTAGGGTCAATGAATAAGCTTCATAGGACCCGAGGACCACCTAGACCACCTGAAAACTTCTGTACGTGCATTTTTCTAGGAGAGGGTCAAGAGTGTTCATCAGATTCTCACAAAGCTGCCCATGACCAAAGAAAGGCTAAAAGCCACTGACATAATACATTTTTTCCTGTGTCTCTGTCTTCTGAATCCAGGGTGATGAAACTGACTTACCTATCTTTCTCCTTTGCTGTTCCTAGAAAAAGCAAGTGAGTCAGACCAAGATCCGGGTCATCTCCACCATCCTCTTCATCTTGGCTGGCTGCGTTGTGTTTGTGACGATCCCTGCCGTCATTTTCAAATACATCGAGGGGTGGACGGCCTTGGAGTCCATTTACTTTGTGGTGGTCACTCTCACCACGGTGGGCTTTGGTGATTTTGTGGCAGGTAAGCCCCTGGGGCATCCCAGTCGCCAGGGCCTTAGTGGGGAAAATGTTCTGTTGGTAGTGCTTTTCAAGAGCACAAGAGAAGATATTGTGGGAGAAGCAAATGAGAAAGGCTCCATGTCACCGCTGCTGTTCACAGGCTCATTTCACACTCCTAGACCTATGCAATGTAAACAGCAGCAGGCTTCTGCTGTGAGAGGAAGCCAGCCGCTCTTCCCCTAGGATGCTTATTGCCCTCTGGTCATATGAATTACGCATGAGTGAAATGAATTTCTCATTGAATTTTGGACTTCTGAATTGTATTAAGGCTCCTTGAATCAATTGATAAAGGCTGTATTAGCAAGTGGCAAATGTGAAACTCTGGAGAGATTAGCATAGAGCTGAGCCTGCAATGACCTGCAGGTTAAGCCTTCTGACGCAGAGGTAAGAGCCATTGTTTCTGCAGAAGTTGTCCAGGGCATGCTCAGATGGGAGACTAACGACTCAGTTGACTACCAGAAGCTGCGAACTGCCCTGAGGGAATGTAATATTATAATGGATTCTGCACGAATGTGTATAGAAGCAATAGCCTTCATCGTAAAAATAAATGCCAGTGAGCTGTATTTAAGGGAGCAAAAGAAAACCACCCTCAAATTCATCTAGGGACAGGGAGCTTGAAAATGAAATGAGTGTTACATTGTACCACTTTCCCAGAGTGTGGTAGGAAGGCAGGAATAGGAGGAGGCCATGCTTCTCTTTCCTAATGGGATAGTTCTAGGTGGTCAGGCAATTGATCATTTTTTACTCCAAGAAGGGAACACTGTGATCAAGCAATTCTATCATAAGTTCAAAATGTTTGGGGGAGTGTGTGTGTGTGTGTGTGTCTTTGACCATTTCCTGGTTAAGCAGCAGCCTGGACATTTATAGGCTGAACTCCCAGTCTGACTATCCATTTGGCACGTAATCCCAGCAGTGCCTTGGTTTCTCCACGGATTCTGGTGCACATAAGGAGGACAGGGATCTCGTCTCTGGGAATCTGGTAAACAGGAAATTCTTGAGGGGATGTTGAAGACTTGTCAATAGGAGCATGGGTGCCTCCATGTTAATTATATGATATAGATAATCGGCAGAGTGGTTTTTTAGCTATTCCAACTGAGCAGGGTGAAGACTGAAGTCTACTTTGTAGGAATAGTAGTGTTTCATTTTTTTCTTCCTTTTTATTGGCTAAGGACTAAGAGTTGCAAAGTCAGAGTGGTTAAAAATTATTTAAAAAAAAACCCTGGGGCCTGGGACCCCGCCAATCTTTCCTTATGCGCAAGGCTCAACCATCCTGCAGCTCCCCAGGTTGGGTGAGAAGTCACCTGATGCCATCTGATTAGGGACCTGGAGCTCTGGAGAGAAACCACAGAGAAACTGACAAAAGTAAGAGGAACAATTATCTGGTTAATTTCTTAGCCTCCTCCATAGCTGGTCTGTGGGAAAACTCAGTTAAGGTACCAATTGAAGGTAAATACGTGTAATGGCAGTTGGAGTTTAGAACTATTTCGCAGACATCTTTAAGTTCCCCAAAGCATGAATTGCACTGGGTTGTGCTTCAGAGCGCTCTGTGCTAACACTGGGTTGTCTGGAGGACTATCCGTTATATAGGACTCCTGTGACGAATCCTACTCGCTAACCAATTGCTCAAATCAGTCTGTCAATCTGTTAATCTCGGGCACAAATAGCAATGCCCTGGGAATATGAAATTAAAAAAAATTATTTATGATTTAATGATTTATTCTTATTGGTCACCATGGTCTGTGAGCACTTGGCACAAACTGGCGTTTGTCCTTATTTTACTTACCTAGTAAGGGCGTGACCGCCACAGTCACAGGCATGCCACTGTTTTAATTCCCTTACTGCTGATTAACAGAGACGTACTTCCTTTGTCCTGAGGTCTTCTGTAATTCACAGCACTGACTGCAATTAGACCACGCCCGTCTAAACTCCAGGTTCTAGGCTTACATAGACCCATCTGAAGCATGCATACCTTAAAAGACTGGAAGTTCGTCACAACCTTTTTAGTAATACTCTAAGAGTGATAGGGAAGGATGACTAATCATTTAAAAAGATACATTAACAAGAGTTGATGGTTGCTGTGATTTGGTACGGCGTCAACTCTACTGGAAATATAATCGGAACATCGATCACCAGGCAGGATTAAGTCCTGGTTTATTTTGTAGCGGACTCACTTTAGGACAGACTCACAGCATTACAGCATCACACCACCCTGGCTGGGAACACACTCGGAGCTCTGAATTCCAGACAAGCAGCTCGTAAAGGAACATGCAGAAGGGTGTTTATTGCGTTGTCCACTAGCGCACCCTAGTGACAATCTTTCTTGGGTGGTGGTGACTTGCTACAGTAAATATTTGCTCTCAGATAGTCCCGGAGGAGAAAGCTGCAGAGTTCTCTGGCTTAGTGAAGAAATGAAATGAACCTCAAAAACCACTTAATGTTGCAGGAACTCCAATAGAATCCCAGAGAAAGCTGCGGGGAGGGTTACCTAGAAGGAAAAAACAAAGACAGCTAAACCAAACCCAGCATTGCCACAGAGCCCTTTAGCAATGTTTGGAATTCTAATTTTAAGAAATGACAGTAGCTGACGAGACCTCCTGGGCTGCATTGCAAAGTGTGTTTGGGCACACTGAGAAGAAGAGCCACAGGCCACAGTGCCTGCCCAGCTGCCTCTGGGAGGTATTATTAATGCCATGAGAGTTCAGGATGGATTCAGTGGTGCCAGATGAGGTTACAACCACGACCCAGTGGGATAGTCTAGTAACCACTCATCATATAATACCGTAATTACCAATCCATCGCTAATGCCGTTTGTCTTAGAAGTGGCCACCTGCCTGCTTCATTGGGCAACAGAATCTCACAGAGTGAGAACAAGGCTGACATCAATTATTTCGTGGAGCTTCCTCCCTTCTTTAGGAGAGTGGGCTGGGCTTGGAAACTATTTTGCATGGCCACCTTTGGCAGCGCCTGTAGGAGGGCTAGAATTAATAGGCTAATTATTTGGAATAAATGATTAGTCCTTTCAGTGGAACAGCCAGTCAATGCAATCAGGCAACTGGCCAATTGGGTTTCATGGATTTTTACTGTAACCCCTATTTATAAAATAAAGAGATTGGACTAGCTGGCCTTGAAGGTCCCTTTTAGTTCTAGCACGGTGATTCTAATTACTCAGTCTAATTGACCCTTTGGATTAGCATCATGTAAAAACCACCCCTCAGTTAGCATTAAATCACTATTGCTTGGATCAAAGTCTCAGGAATGCTGTTAAGTCTAATGTTACTTCCACACATGCATTCATCACCTGGTAAACGCATGTGTGCTTATGGAGGAAATGGTTGCAAGAATTCCAAACCATTTGAGCTGATTTAATGATATTTTTATTAAATTCAAAGAAGTTTTAGAAAAAATTGACAGCTGGGCCTGATCTGTGTCCTCTAGGCCCAGTCATTCATTAGCAAGCTCCGGTTGAGATGGGTGGATCAAGTTGGCCACTGACACTTTTTTGTTACAGGTATTATGGTTAGTGGTCAAGATTCAAAGGAAGTTAAGCCACAAGTCAGGCTCCTTTAGGGAAGGGATACATCTTTTCCTTGCCCTCCCACACCTGTCACCTCTTGTATACAGCAGGCCTAACAGCTGAGTGTTAGATGGTGATGGCATGACATCTCCGCTGCATGGACTGGGATATGTTTGCTCTGCAAAGACCATACGCTAGATCCTGGTTAAAGTAACGTTTGGTTGTTTTCAGGGGGAAATGCTGGCATCAATTACCGGGAGTGGTATAAGCCCCTAGTGTGGTTTTGGATCCTTGTTGGCCTTGCCTACTTTGCGGCTGTCCTCAGTATGATCGGAGATTGGCTACGGGTTCTATCCAAAAAGACAAAGGAAGAGGTAGGACCCCTTCCAGATTCTATGAATGTTCCTGAGATCAAATTAGCTTGAGTCGAGAATTTATGTCTCTGTTCCATGGGCTAGAGTGTTTCTTACTAAATGGAGGGCTCATAAAGCTTCCTTGTTTTGAATCGTTACCTAAAAGCCAAGTTAGATGGAATAGCAGTTATTTCTGGATCCTTTTTTGGTGGGTAAGAAAATCTGGTGACTCACTCACCAGCCCACAGATCCTGGAAAGACTAGTAAATAACTTATTTTAGAAAATGAAACGAAAAGGGAAAGAAAAAAACCAGAAATAGTCAGCAGAGGTAGACTGTGCTTGAGGGAGGTATGCAGTTGCCTCTTATCAGCAAATATTTGGGGGAGGCTTAGAAAATTCATAGAAAGCCCAGGAAAGCCAGCCTGTCCTTCAGGTCTTGGGATCTGTATGGAAACGCAGTTGGACGCCATGACTCTTTCCCAACTCCCTGTGTGTCTGAACTCATTGAACAGTGGCCGGCCCTCGGGAAGTGAACTCAAGGGGTCCCTTTCACTTATGTCCCCTCCTGGTTGTCAGACTTGTAGAAACAAATATATCCCTGTGGCTAGCGGCATGCAGCCTTTACTCCTTCATATAAATGTGCATGAAAACCTACACAAAGGCAAGAAAAGGCACAAGAAGGAAAGGTGGATTTTGTGATTCAAAAGACAATGTCTGTGTAGTTCTTCTAGGAAGAGAGGAAAAGAGATAAGAAAGGAGAGCAAGGGAATGAGAAGGAAAGGGGACAAAACCCAAAGAGATAGCAGGAGGGACAGCCTCTTTAAGGGTGACCTTTCACTTCCCACAATATGGTCATTCCATGTGGAAGGCCCCGGGAGAGACATTTCCCGTATCATTCCTGGGCCTGTGTGTTAATTTTCCTGGCTTACATAAACACTGGCAACACAGTCTCCAGTCTGATTCCCCAGGTAGCTAACTGACCTGCCACAAAAAGCAGCTATAATGAAAGAGAAAGTGACAATATAAATATTGACTGTCAATGCAAAAGTCAGAGTTATGCATCTCTGCAGGAAAGCATGAAACTTGTACTGTCTGCTCTGCTGAATAAGAGCCCGCAAATTTGGTACTGATCCTCATGAGAAACTTCACGCTCAGGAAGTTTGTTCTGTGTGCTTTGGCAGAACATGTCCCCTTTCTGCACCCTGACCAGAGAAATTTGGTTACCAGGTGCCCTGGAGGGTCTTCTTAAACTAGAGCAAGTCCCATAGCACACGACCATAGCATGGCCCGGATACAGGGTGACCAACAGTCCCAGGTTTTCCAGGACTGAGGGGGTACCTAGGACACAAGACATGCCCAGGCTAATTGGGACAGGTTGGTCATCTTATCCAAACAGAGGCGTTGGAGGGACAGAGAAGGATCTGCTGAACATCTGCTTTGTGCCCAGGACCGAGCATGTCTTTCTCTCACGTAACACTAAAGACTTTGTGAGCAAGACAAAGATTACTCCAGCTGTGTTGGAGGAATGAGGCCATGCAATTAAAAAAGGGGTGGACACAGAACTGGAACCCAGGCCTGTCCAACTCCAAATATTGCTCTATACCCCGGAATGCCGTCCACCCCCATTCAGTCACCTTCTCTGCATCTCAAGCTTCCGTTGGGTTCTCCAGTCTGTGTGCCTCCTGAGCCACATTAGTCACCAGCCAATTTGAGATGGGTGTTTAGGTGGCAGGAAGGACTAGCGCAGAAGTAGCATTTCACGCCTCCCCTTGGGCCTGTGCTCCATCACCTCCTGGCCTCCCCCCGGGAAACCTTCCCATCGGGACACCCAAGGGCTGTGGGTGCTGGGGGGCCCCAGGCGGAGAGGAGTCTCTCATCGTGTTGCTGCTCTGTCTCGTCCAGGTCGGGGAAATCAAGGCCCACGCGGCCGAGTGGAAGGCCAACGTGACAGCCGAGTTCCGGGAGACGCGGCGGCGGCTCAGCGTGGAGATCCACGACAAGCTGCAGCGGGCGGCCACCATCCGCAGCATGGAGCGCCGGCGCCTGGGCCTGGACCAGCGGGCGCACTCGCTGGACATGCTCTCCCCCGAGAAGCGCTCCGTCTTCGCCGCGCTGGACGCGGGCCGCTTCAAGGCCTCGTCCCAGGAGAGCATCAACAACCGGCCCAACAACCTGCGCCTCAAGGGGTCAGAGCAGCTGAACAAACACGGGCAGGGGGCCTCTGAGGACAACATCATCAACAAGTTCGGGTCCACCTCCAAACTCACCAAGAGGAAGAACAAGGACATCAAAAAGACCTTGCCCGAGGACGTTCAGAAAATCTACAAGACCTTCCGGAATTACTCCCTGGATGAAGAGAAGAAAGAGGAGGAGACAGAGAAGATGTGTAACTCGGACCATTCTAGTACTGCCATGTTGACTGACTGCATCCAGCAGCAGGACGGGGTAGAGAACGGGATGGTCCCCGCTGACACCAAAGACGGGGAACTCGAGAACAACGCGTTACTTGAAGACAGAAACTAAATGTTAAGGATGCTGGACTTGATGAAGCGCTTGTGTTTTTTATATTCACCCTGAGACACGTGCCTTAAACAGACTTCTCGTTAGTCCGAAATTACATAGCATTGAAGAATTGATGTCACTGTGCCATAAACGACTCAGAAAGCTTGCTCTGCCAAAAGGAAGCAAAGAACAAGGTCTTCACTTCCCATAGTGACCACAGGACACCCGGGGAGCGTTCGCACATGTAAGAGGTCACGGCCGCAAATAGTAGGGGCGGGTCCATGGCGATGCCGTACGTCTGTACAGCGCCGCCTTGGCGTGGCGCCTAGAAAAGGGCAGCTATTCCTTAGACCAGCCTTCCGAAAGGAACAGGTGTGTCTTTTAACAGGAGTCTCATTTCCTGACCCTGCCGTTAGGGATACGTGCACACACAGAAGGGAACCAGACTGGGGGTGAACCTGGTACCTGTAACAAGGGTTAGAGTTGACATTTTGGCATGGACTCTCAGCTTGAATTTTGATACAAACCATACAGTGCACACCTAGTCTTTCTAAGCTCCAAATGAATGTCCATGGAACCTAAAAGCACCTGGAATCTGTTGGAAGCAGATCAGAGCACACGTATTAAAAGGTGCAATTACTTTCCTCATTACAAAAGAAACAAAAAAATCACAAATACATCACACTGTGGATATCACCTTAACCAATGACAGAAGCCTCCTGAATTTTGTCTCTCTCACAGGGGTAGGTGGTCCAAATGAATTTGCAAGCGTTGGTAAAAACTCAACCTCCACCGCTGCATGGTTACAGGCAAAAATCACCCATTTTCCCCAGTGGGTGCACAGGTGAAAAATAAACTGGTTTTCAAATGTTTGTGTTCACTTTTCTAGTGGAACTTCAGTTACAACTTGTTTTGATAAGAGGGGAAAAAATATACCAAAACTATTGCCTTGCATGGTGCCAGTGGCTTGCTGTTCTGTCTAGCTGATCCTAAATTTTTATAAAAATAGACATCTTGCATGTCTGAGACATACCACGGAGGACCATGGCATCATTCCATCTCAGGGCTTTCTGTCCCTCTGGGTGTCTTAGGGTAGACATAGTTACAAGATCCAACCTTGCTATCTTCAAACAAAAGGAAAATTAATCCCTCAACCAACCCTTGTACAATAAGATTGAATTGTTTTAATTGCTTGCAGCTTAAGTGCCATTAATGCCATTTAAAAAATAATCCTTAAAAGAAGTATTTAAAATATTTCACTTTTATGTTTGGATGTTCTTGTATTTTGAAAGCATCACTTCCTTTCCTTGCTTGTTTCTTTATCTCACACCTGCAGTTCACTAAAATTGGAACACCAATGTAATTGATTGTTTCAAGGCAAACAATAACCAACATGTGGTAATTATGATTGTTCCATGAGGTTAGAACATCCAGTGGAGGAAAGTGGGGGAATGGCTAGTCACAGGTTTGGGGAAGAAGATCTTAAATGGATTTTTATCAGAAAGGGAAAAATATGGACTAGGCCAACCATGCTGTGTGTGCCCCAGCCTTTTGCATAATTGGCTGTCCGTGGTCCTGACTCAAACTTAGCTTTTTGGGTTACCCACTTAAGCATTTGCAACACTAGGAAGATGCTGGTTATGGGCCTTAGGCTCATAACCTCAGGCTCAGTGCCACCTTTTGGGGATTTCACACGAATAAGACACAGAATGGATTTATCAAAAGATCACAGGATGAGCAGAGACTTACAGAAACGAACTAATGCTTTCTGACTTCCCACTGAAAATTACACCCACTGGTACCACAGCAGACCTCTTCCTGCTCACTTCCCAGAAAAGCACAGCTCTCCCTTGCCTGCAGCACATGCAACCACCCTTCCCTCTGCCCCCCAACTTTTAGGATCCGGTTAAAGTTCTGGCATTGTTTTTGGGAAGGAGCCAAATGAGAATCAACTTTGATGAGGCCCTTCCTGTCCAAGGTAGGTTTGGATTAACGCCTCCATTGGGCTGGAGCAGTGGCTCACTGGTGACATCCTGTGTCCACATAGTGATGAATAAACACTTGGGAAACGATGTTTACGCAGGTGTGGGCGTTGGTTCTTACTATGGGAACCATGCCAGCCTGACAAAATGTGTTTTATAAATTGTAGATAACTGGGACTTGCTCTCTTACTCTGACAAGTTAAAAGCTTCCTGATTAAACTGTCCACAGATCACATTCATTTGGGTTTCTACCCTCTATTACTTGGTACCTTCTTTATAGTAGTGTGTTAACATTCTAGACTCTGCAGCCAAATCTGGCAAAGAGGCTCCCCTGTCGTTTATCCACTGGCTTCTGCGGGCTGGGCACCAGATTAGGCACTTTATGGGCGTTCGTTCGCTGAGACCTCACAGCAACACTCTGTGAGGACGCGGAGGCTCAGGGAAGCTAAGTCAGTAACTTATCCAACGGCACACAGCACGAAGGTGGTGGAGCTGGTGTTCAAAGCTTGTCTGACCAAAGTCTGCTTTCGACTTTGCTACAGTGTTATGCACCCTTGTGAGTGTGTGTGTGTGTGTGTGTGTGTGTGTGTGTGTGTGTATGTGCGTCTTTCTAGTTTTAGGGACACAGAATACAGAGGTGGGGAGAAAATCTCTACTGCCAAGAGAGTACGAGGTCTTTGCGTAAATGTGGCCTAAAGTGTTACCCTTGTAGACACTTACTGGACATTATTTTGGTTTTGGTTTGGGGAATGCTGTATGTGGCACCCGTTCTGTATTGTTAGAAATGCCCTTTGAAAGCACTCTTTTGCACTTTACTTGCTTATCTTGCAGGAGCTCCACATATATAGCAGGAATAAAACAATTCAAAGCACTAGGCTGCACACTCTACCAAATGGAACAGGTGTTGGTGAGTGCATAGACGCTTCCCCGACCAAGTCAAATCACAGTAATTTGGAGCGATTGAAAATAGCCCTGGGCTGCAAGTGGGAAAATCTCCAATATAACCCATTCCCCACGTACAGATGGGGCCAAGGCTCTGATGAATAAAATCACAGAAGGGTCCTCCCTCTATGGAGATTGATCCATTAAATATGTGGTGAAGTGTCTGACAAACTATAACGTACTCTCCAAAGAAGAAGCTGAGAGGGAATAAGAGGTTGGAGTCCTCTCCGTGCGTACAAGCTAAGACCTGGAGGGAGGCCAGTTGTTCTGAAGTTGCTTGAATGTTACCTTTTTAAGATGAGGCCAACTAGCATGGGAATTCACGTGGATAAGGCAAAGTTGCTACAAATTCTAAACACGCGTCAGCACAGCCCTGCCCTTGCAGCCTGCACTCCCCACCCCACCATAAACCCGGAACGTTTTGATTTTGCACACAGAAAGAGCACGTGTTCAGAATCTCCAGTGGGTAGTGTCTTTTGCTTCACCTGGAAGTTAGGTACTGAATTTTTCTTCCACAACAGATCTGGAGGCTTACTGGTGAGAGCCGAGGGACACTTGGGAGAGACTATAGCTCAGTACCCAGTCCTAACCCAATAGTGACTCTAGGAATTTTTCACTTTTAGGGCAGGGTCTTAATGTGTGTGTAAGTAGGGGTGCCTCTGGCCTACAACTAAGGTGACTGGGACTGTTTGTCTGGGCTCCACCAGTCCCAGCCTATGATCGTGGGCACCTCAGTCCTGTCGCCTACATCCCTGTTACCTCATCAGCACATCATGGCAGTTGAATGCAGGCAATCGTCAAGGTCCCTTTGAGTTCTGCAGCTCTTTGACCAAACACGCCCTGGTCCATGTGTTAATCAAGTTTATTAAGAAGGTTATTAATTGGATTCGTGGATATTGCCTAATGGGCCCACTCATTTTAGGCTGAGATGAGAGCTTAGTCTCCTGCCCTTTGGGATTTGTTTTCTGGGTGGTTGATGGAGACAAGATGTGCTTGGGTACTTGGTGTCCAAATTAGGATCCTGCCCTCTGTAGGCTCACTCCATCCTCCCTTACAGCACAGTGTCACCCGGAGGGCTCATGCTGTGTGGGCATTTTTCGCATGGTGTTAAGACTATTTAAACAATTTTAAGCCGTTGCTATTTGCAGTCAATTGTAGCAAAGGTTCCCTTTGATTACTTCATGAATTCGTATACTATAGACAGATAACTCTTACTCAGATATGCACACGCACACAGGAAATGGCGGCTTTGGGCTCCATGGGGACCATTCCATGTTGAAAGTCCTAGTTGTGCTAGAAATTAGCAAACCACCCCTTTGCCTCCCTCTGAGATGGTATCATTTCCTGGCTGAGTCAATGCTGCTCATCTATTTGTAAGCTTGGTTTTGAGGATTAGTGAGAATGTGGCTAGAATTTGGGTGGAGCAGGTTTTTGCTCCATGGATTGGGTAAGAATGTAGACCATCCAACATGTACCATGGTTCCTGAACTGTAGGAAAACAAACAAACATTAGAAAGCAGAGACTCTCTAAAAAAAGAGAAAAAAAGCCAGTATTGCGTTTCATGTCTCTGCCTTCTGCATCTGCTAATGTTTCAAGTGGGGGTTATTCTTTCTCACTGTTATGATGCAGTCGTGTGCAAAGACAGTGGCTGTGTGAGCAGGGGGAGCTTTCGGTGGTATGGTGTAAGAGCTAGTTAGTAATAGCCTTAAAAAATAAAAATGGTAACTCTTTGAAACAAAGGTGACTTTAATTTGGCATCGAGGGTGCTGTTACTTCTGCGTATGGAAACTTTGGAACAGCATGCTGATTACTTGGCTGTAAATAAAGCCCTGCACTCTGTCCTTGTACTTCACCAACCCGCCCCAAATCCACGTAAACCTCAGTCCTTCCATGGCAGTCCCTAAGTCACCTGACATCAGCGCAGTGACATTGAGGAGAAATCAAAGAGGAGTCTGTGATTTTACTGAAAGTGATTATCATTTTCACAGGTGCCTAAGAGGTTTGGAATATACTTTCTGTTCTCGGTTCTAAATGAAAAATCTCAAATAGTACCGTGTGCATTAAAAAAAAAAAAATCCTTGAGAAGACTCCCGCTCCATTGATAGAGCAGACCTGTGCCGCAGAGGATAACTGGACAACCTCTCCTTTTCCATCAGGGCGCTGAGCTTGAAGGGAGGAGGGGCAGTGGTGCCTAGAAGTGATATGCAAACCAACCCACACGCCAGCCTCCAGCCTCTTTCCCCATCCCAGAGTCACAGGCAGGGGACCCAGCGACGACGACGATAAACCCACGTGTGGAGGTGTTTTACCTATTTTTCTCTCTGTAGGATTTCATGGTGCTTTAAAAAAAAAAAGGCATTTTACAGAAAATAATGCGGGGTGGGGGGAGGAGGGAATTTCGTAATGTTCTTAGGAAAAGTACAAAAGCAAATTTGCGTGTAACATTTCAACAAGCTGTGCTGCTATTGTCTTTATTTGATGATGTAATTTTTTTTTTTCAATGATGGAGAAAATTGCAACAAAGACCTTCTGGAAGATCCAATCCGATGTCTTTCCTGTTTTCCTTTCATTTGTGGGATCAGGCCTGGTTCATAGTGGCTGGGTCGGGAGCTACGCTCAAGATCACCAGTCTGCTGGGAGCAGGCTTCTTGTCTGGCTGGGCACTCACTCACATGCATTTGTCAGGGCAGAGCCTATGAAAATGCACGGTCTTGCAGGCAGAGGAGCCCAC